CTTTAATATCTAACGAATTTATTATAACAATACACAGCCATAACAAATGTTTAGATAGTAATTAAAACTGTTAAAATAATAATTTACCAAACAACCTGCTAAAGAAAACCTAATCATATTTATAAAGCGCTGTATTTAATAACACAAACAAAAAACTTAATGTATAATTGATTGTGTATAGAAATAGAAAGTCATACAGACTGATATTCTATCGAAAAAATCACCAAAAAGTAGGGTTGACCCCGACGTGATTTGAACACGCAACCTTCTGATCTGGAGTCAGACGCGCTACCGTTGCGCCACGGAGTCGCTGTTAATATTAGCAAATTTTATTAACATTTACTTTTTTACTTTAGTATTTAAAATTATTTGTTTTTTTTTTGTAATTTTATAATAACTAATTCAAAAGATATTTTAAATAAAAAAAGACAATACAATATATTTTCAAAACTTTAATTACAAACTATTTAAACAATAAAACATTTGACGATATCGCCATCTGTCGACAAAAAGTTGGGCTTCTTGGACCACATCCACACAACTATCAGATTTTCTTGTAAACGACAAAGCTATTGAACATTAACTTAATACTTAGTACTAACACAAATGCAAATTTACTAAATTAAAATAAAAAAATAAAACATTTCAAAGTGATAGCGGCGTAAGAGAATTTATTATCTCATTACGTGAGAGGCAACCATGTGAATGACCGAAAAGAAATGTCGTGGACTCCGATAGATGGCGGTAAACCACATAGTTTATCATGACCGATTTAAATGAGGGCTAATTTTACACTCACCAGATGTCAGTGGTTGGGAATAAAGGGTCGTTTAAAATTTCCGCTTTTAAATTAAAAAAAAAATCGGTTTCTCGTGTATGTATATATTCATAAGTCAATGCCTCACTGCTGTATTCTTTAGTTTTCACACATTATTGTCATCTTTTAATTCTTCTACTTTTAGGAATATCCGTAATATCTAGGTTTATCTATTTATTATCCAATTATATATATTTCAGAAATTAATCTCTACTTAAACTTTTCTGAAAAACTAGTACGAAATTGAAATATTTCAATTAATTCCTAAAAGATCACTTTAAGTGGCGTCGCCCTGGTGGTAGAAAAAATAGTGCAATTAACAGATATGCAAAAAACAGATATGACTCACAGTCCACGAAAAGCCCACAGCTGGACACAAAGACTACAGAAGGATGCTGGACATGAGACTTGAGAGAGAGGGGGAAGTTGCTTTAATTGTCACGCTTGACAGGTGATATAGGTGGATTGACGATTACAATACCAGACATCTCTCTCCTTGCGCTCGTGATCGCTACCATATACGCGCTACCTATTGTAAATTAACGTTTTAAAAAAGTCCCTTTTTTCTTGTTTCCTTATTTCCCAGGACAGAGGTTTTTCCAACCAGTGGTAAAGCTTTAATGACTTTCAATAAGTACTCTTGTAATGTATATTTGATAAAATGCAGCTCGGGCGGACCGGCGTCTGTGTGTGTTTACGTCTGGTGCAAACGAAATGGTTAAACTGCCATTTACCGGAAGCGGAAGCCATAGGATTTTCTAGCTTTTCCAGTAGCCAGCGAGACGCATTCTTTCACACCGCCACCGTACGGTTAGACCCAATCATAGTGCAGGCATAATACAGCTGCATCTTTATTATAGTATCCCGATCAGGATCGCCAGGATAAGTTGAAATTATTATCAGCATCACCACAGCTCATGATCAATGCGTGCTGTTTAATTTTTTTAATTCGGTGTACAGTAAAGTGCCTCAAGCACATGAGTAAAGACGGTTTCTTTACTCATGTGCCTCAAGTGCGCGCGGCACCACAAATCCACTAACTACACCTGAACAACCCATGCCTGATATAACGTATTTAGTAAACTTAAAGCCTACGCACCTCGGAGGAAGCCAGTTAACCAAGCTGGCTGAAATAAGTTGGTTCCTCTCAGCACGTCCCGAGCGCGACGCTGCACTCATGATACTGTTATAAACATCCTACTTACATTGTAATTAATAATTACATGTATGCCTACGCGGATTGGACTCTGGTTACCCGGTTACTGTGAAATTTAAGACGACTGCTTAACTTATAACCTACTACGTCATTACAACACTTTTATAAGCTATGTAGTAAGCTTATACATACGTGGTAGAGTGATACTGTAGCTGTATTATGGTTGCAGCACGAATGGTCGACAGCGCAAAATATCAGCTTAATGCAGGTGTGCTTTTTGGCTATGATAAGTGTAGAGAACCGGAGAACTTATTGGAAACAAAGCATTCCATCTTAGCTCACAGGAGTGACAGCGCATCTGCATTTTGATTATTAATCGAGGATAGGTTTAGATGTCTATTATGGACCACAGCCAGCGGCGGCGCAAGACCTAAATTTTATGTGGGCAAGATACATTTTGCGAGGCCCTTTGCCCGCGCAAGAAGACGGATTATATAAAATGTAAAACAAAACACTTGACATTATGAAATTTCTATTTTTACAAAATCATTAAGTACCATCACCAAACAATTTCAAAGAAAAATTAAGAAATAGATATTCTGCCTTTTATTCTGCTGAATTGTTCAATTATAGCCTCATAATCCAGCTTGGATTCTATATCTGCCTCGATAGATAAAACCTTCAACGCTGAAAGTCTTTTCTGTGACATTGCTCTCCTGAGATAATTTTTAACGAGTACTAACTTTAAGAAGCTTCCTTCAGCGGATGCTGTACTGATCGGTATTGTTAAATGACGATGTAAATTAGTTTCTCTAACTTATTGGAGAAGCTGCTTCACATCTGTTGCGAAGTTAGGTAAATTAGGGATCATTAATTGTAATTCTTCACATAATTCGTAAGGTTCAAAGTCACTGCTTTCACCCAATCGCAGGGCTGTGTGTAAATCTTGACAGTTATTTTAATATTAGATGGTTTGGATATTTTTTAACTTGTTTAAATCATAAAGGAAACCAAAATTTTTATAATGTGGGTTTAAAGCCATAAATCTCAATTATAATTGAACAAGTATGGTGTTGAAAAAATTTGTTTAATACCGACTTTTAGGAGACTGTATAGGTTAATTCTTGCCTTCATAATCCGACGTCTTTTTCTTTTTGGCTACCCTTTCTTTTATTTTTAGTCTTTTGGCAGATCATAACAGTGTTTTTTTTTCAATAAACTGTTAAATACCACACAAGCATTTTTCGAAACAAGTTTGTCGATATTCTTTAATCCAGTCGCAAAATGTACGTAAACGTTCAAGAGCTTTAATTTGATTTCACCTATAGTGACAACCCTACCAAAATAGGTAACAATTTTGCAAGTTCTTAAGAAGCTTTGTGTCTGTTTCGTTTATCTACTCATGTGCGTACAGCATAAAATAAACGTACAGCAACCACGTGGGCTGCTGTACCGCACTCTTTACTCGATTGCCACGCGCCCACGATTAAATAAAGTCAGTGTTCTAAGTCTAACAAACAGAACGAGGAAGCCTCAGATTTTCCGGCCCCGTAGATTACTGTATATACTCTGGTCGCCCCGCAGTGGGGATTCCCTGCAATAGCAACGCAAACTAATGTTGCTAGACTGAATAAAAACATATTTAGTTATGTCAATAATATCGATTCATGACAATGAAATTTTTCGGTGCGTTTACGGTTTTAAGTAATGCATAAACCTCCAGGGCGCGAGGCCCCCTGGATCGCGAGGCCGTAGGCGGTGGCCCACGTCGCCCACGCCTTACGCCGCCTCTGCCACAGCATCTACTTACCATCTGGTGAGCGGCTTTATGTGCTTTTCGCGGCACTGGGGTTAAACACCACTAACACCCCGACTCCGAGCTGCTACTGAAAATATATTCACAGAAAACCCAATAATTGATTTTGGCAAGAACTTGAATTCGAACCCTGACCAAATATTAAAGGAGTCGTATAGATTATATAGCGTTTGGGAAACAAAATTTTAATTTCTTTTTCGATAGATAAATAAATGTTAAAGAGTTAAGTTGCCAACTAGGAAAATATATTTTTAAATATTTTCTTTTGTATTTTATACAGTTTATATTGCTTTCAGTGCAATGTTTAACACAGATAATTAACAAAAAAAATTCAATTAAATTACCATACAGTCCTACTCCAAGAGCCGTGGTAGCTCCGATGGTTAGCGCTCGCTGTAAATTTCACAGTACGCGAGCAAACCGGGTTCGATCCCCGCCGGCACCAATGAAATTGTTAATTGCAATTTTAAGTGCCGATTTGCCACGTGCTCGGCGGTGAAGGAAAACATCGTGAGGAAACCTGCATGTCAGTAAGAAAAAAAATATTTCAAAGACATGCGAAGTTCGTCAACACGCATTGGGGTAACGCGGCGAACAATTTCTTGCCCTAAAACCCTCTCAGAAATGAGCAGAGACCTGTGCCCAGCAGTGGGACGGATATAGGCTGTAACTTTACTTTTTACTTTAGTCCTACTCCACGCGATATACCAAGCTAAGAACGCTAGCTGCGTTTCCTTGCTGAATATACTTTCTTCGCTCTGCCATAGTTTAAAGACAGTCACCAGTTAGAACACTGTCTTATACTAAGCCTATAACCTACCAACTTAATTTTACATATTAAAGTGTATTTGCCATAATTGGCACTCTTAGCAAAAGCCTTGGCAACCGCAGTTTTTTTAGGTCTCAGTTTTCCTCGGGTTTCTCTGATGATACCACGAAATGATACGATAAGCATACGGCCAATATTGTTATGTGTGTAATGGAATAGATATTCTGTAATGCGTTACTAAAATGAACATGAAAAGTTTTTATCATTTGACAAAGTTTTATATTTTCACAATATCAACGGCCAAAACATCTCACAAATCGATCGATAACGCAAAATGTAAACAGGACAATAAAAACCAATACTACATATTTCATATCATTATATATTTTAATTCCGTCACCGCATGACGGTATTTGAATCCAAAGTAGTCGATTGAATCTGCCTAAGCTACGCTACGTCTGGAACGCGTTACCGCTGACAGCACCTTGAGGGACTCTGCATCTTCGTTGGCATTAAGTTGTGCAGTGATGGTGCGTGATGGTTGATTGTGGCTCCTCTGGTTGTGGTACGCTATCCGCGGGTAGTAGAACTGCGTGAGGATACTCTGCTCGAGCTGGCAGCAGACCAGTGCCAGAGCAGTCAGCAATAGGACAACTTTCAGCATCATTTTCTAATCAAAATTAAAATTATTTTTATATGTGAATACAGTTACTGAGACGGAATAGATTAAAAAAAAAACAAGTACGTTCGCTTAATTCAACCATTAGTAACAATACATTTTTTAAATTATTTCATTATATTATAGGTTATAACTGTTTGTGTACTTTAATTATATTGTATTGTGATTGTAACCAAATTTTATATAAATTAGTTATGATAATTACAATATTTGGTCAAATAGAATACCAAAAGTTATTTTCGTTGAGAGATGAACTTCTAGACGGTAACTGGCGGCACCTCTCAGTAGAGAGTAACAGTGTTCTGTGGACGACACTGTGACTACAAAGTACTTTATATAGACCGAAAACTGTGACTATGACAGTACCTATATTACTATTCTATGACGGTCTGAATCTGAAGTCGCTCGAGCAAAGCAAACAATTCTAGCATAACTGTATTTCAATTTGGAAGAGATTCGCGATTTGATAATTGATACGTAATTATTTCATAAATTCAAATTTTCATAATATCTTTGACAATATAAACATGCAATTTATTTAATTCAGTGTCGATGTCTAACACTTTGACACAGGTTAGTCTGTAAAGCATTAGCCATAAAAAAAATGTTAACGTTAAGATGTTACACTATTACATTTCCCACAATTTTAATAAGGAAACCTACTGCTCATTATAAGTCCCACTGCTGGGTACAAACCTCTTCTCATTTCTATGAGGGTTTTAGAGCTTGCGCCTTTTCACAGCTTGTGCCTTTTTTATACCTTCACAGCTTGTGTCTTATTTTTGAAGTGAAAACTTCTTTAGCGGCGTTGTACACTTTTTTGTAATGGGTAAAAAATGTTAAACTCGCGTCAGGACACGTGACCCTGACCGAAAATTCGTAAGACGGATGCAGAGAGAGAGGGACAGCTGGCGCGGCGTAGGAGAGTCTGGTTCTCTACCCTCACCATACGAAACACAGCAGCATTGAGCTGCTATTTTTACGCTGGTATTTCGTCAAAGCGCAGTCGAAAAACCACACTCTCGACATCTTATTGTCCAAGCACTTATCGTTCGTTCTATTGTTCCATCGGTCTATGACAGTGAGGGCACAGAGAGTTCAGCTGTGCTTGCGGAGGGCACAGAGAGTGCAGCTGTGCTTGCGGAGGGCACAGAGAGTGCAGCTGTGCTTGCGGAGGGCACAGAGAGTGCAGCTGTGCTTGCGGAGGGCAAAGAGAGTGCAGCTGTGCTTGAGGAGGGCACAGAGAGTGCAGCTGTGCTTGCGGAGGGCACAGAGAGTGCAGCTGTGCTTGCGGAGGGCACAGAGAGTGCAGCTGTGCTTGCGGAGGGCACAGAGAGTGCAGCTGTGCTTGCGGAGGGCACAGAGAGTGCAGCTGTGCTTGCGGAGGGCACAGAGAGTGCAGCTGTGCTTGCGGAGGGCACAGAGAGTGCGGCTGTGCTTGCGGAGGGCACAGAGAGTGCAGCTGTGCTTGAGGAGGGCACAGAGAGTGCAGCTGTGCTTGAGGAGGGCACAGAGAGTGCAGCTGTGCTTGCGGAGGGCACAGAGAGTGCAGCTGTGCTTGCGGAGGGCACAGAGAGTGCAGCTGTGCTTGCGGAGGGCACAGAGAGTGCAGCTGTGCTTGCGGAGGGCACAGAGAGTGCAGCTGTGCTTGCGGAGGGCACAGAGAGTGCAGCTGTGCTTGCGGAGGGCACAGAGAGTGCAGCTGTGCTTGCGGAGGGCACAGAGAGTGCAGCTGTGCTTGCGGAGGGCACAGAGAGTGCAGCTGTGCTTGCGGAGGGCACAGAGAGTGCAGCTGTGCTTGCGGAGGGCACAGAGAGTGCAGCTGTGCTTGCGGAGGGCACAGAGAGTGCAGCTGTGCTTGCGGAGGGCACAGAGAGTGCAGCTGTGCTTGCGGAGGGCACAGAGAGTGCAGCTGTGCTTGCGGAGGGCACAGAGAGTGCAGCTGTGCTTGCGGAGGGCACAGAGAGTGCAGCTGTGCTTGCGGAGGGCACAGAGAGTGCGGCTGTGCTTGCGGAGGGCACAGAGAGTGCAGCTGTGCTTGAGGAGGGCACAGAGAGTGCAGCTGTGCTTGAGGAGGGCACAGAGAGTGCAGCTGTGCTTGCGGAGGGCACAGAGAGTGCAGCTGTGCTTGCGGAGGGCACAGAGAGTGCAGCTGTGCTTGCGGAGGGCACAGAGAGTGCAGCTGTGCTTGCGGAGGGCACAGAGAGTGCAGCTGTGCTTGCGGAGGGCACAGAGAGTGCAGCTGTGCTTGCGGAGGGCACAGAGAGTGCGGCTGTGCTTGCGGAGGGGCAGAGAGTGCAGTTGTGCTTGAGGAGGGCACAGAGAGTGCAGCTGTGCTTGCGGAGGGCAAAGAGAGTGCAGCTGTGCTTGCGGAGGGCACAGAGAGTGCGGCTGTGCTTGCGGAGGGCACAGAGAGTGCAGCTGTGCTTGAGGAGGGCACAGAGAGTGCAGCTGTGCTTGCGGAGGGCACAAAGAGTGCAGCTGTGCTTGCGGAGGGCACAGAGAGTGCAGCTGTGCTTGCGGAGGGCACAGAGAGTGCGGCTGTGCTTGCGGAGGGCACAGAGAGTGCAGCTGTGCTTGAGGAGGGCACAGAGAGTGCAGCTGTGCTTGCGGAGGGCACAAAGAGTGCAGCTGTGCTTGCGGAGGGCACAGAGAGTGCGGCTGTGCTTGCGGAGGGCACAGAGAGTGCAGTTATGCTTGAGGAGGGCACAGAGAGTGCAGCTGTGCTTGCGAAGGGCACAAAGAGTGCAGCTGTGCTTGAGGAGGGCACAGAGAGTACAGCTGTGCTTGCGGAGGGACACAGAGAGTGCAGCTGTGCTTGCGAAGGGCATAGAGAGTGCAGCTGTGCTTGAGGAGGGCACAGAGAGTGCAGCTGTGCTTGCGAAGGGCACAAAGAGTGCAGCTGTGCTTGCGGAGGGCACAGAGAGTGCAGCTGTGCTTGAGGAGGGCACAGAGAGTGCAGCTGTGCTTGCGAAGGGCACAAAGAGTGCAGCTGTGCTTGAGGAGGGCACAGAGAGTGCAGTTGTGCTTGAGGAGGGCACAGAGAGTGCAGCTGTGCTTGCGAAGGGCACAAAGAGTGCAGCTGTGCTTGAGGAGGGCACAGAGAGTGCAGCTGTGCTTGCGTAGGGCACAGAGAGTGCAGCTGTGCTTGCGAAGGGCATAGAGAGTGCAGCTGTGCTTCAGGAGGGCACAGAGAGTGCAGCTGTGCTTGCGAAGGGCACAAAGAGTGCAGCTGTGCTTGCGGAGGGCACAGAGAGTGCAGCTGTGCTTGAGGAGGGCACAGAGAGTGCAGCTGTGCTTGCGAAGGGCACAAAGAGTGCAGCTGTGCTTGAGGAGGGCACAGAGAGTGCAGCTGTGCTTGCGGAGGGCACAGAGAGTGCAGCTGTGCTTGAGGAGGGCACAGAGAGTGCAGCTGTGCTTGCGGGGGGCACAGAGAGTGCAGCTGTGCTTGAAGAGGGCACAGAGAGTGCAGCTGTGCTTGAGGAGGGCACAGAGAGTGCAGCTGTGCTTGCGGAGGGACACAGAGAGTGCAGCTGTGCTTGCGAAGGGCACAAAGAGTGCAGCTGTGCTTGCGGAGGGCACAAAGAGTGCAGCTGTGCTTGCGGAGGGCACAGAGAGTGCAGCTGTGCTTGAGGAGGGCACAGAGAGTGCAGCTGTGCTTGCGAAGGGCACAGAGAGTGCAGCTGTGCTTGAGGAGGGCACAGAGAGTGCAGCTGTGCTTGAGGAGGGCACAGAGAGTGCAGCTGTGCTTGCGGAGGGCACAGAGAGTGCAGCTGTGCTTGCGGAGGGCACAAAGAGTACAGCTGTGCTTGCGGAGGGCACAGAGAGTGCAGCTGTGCTTGAGGAGGGCACAAAGAGTGCACCTGTGCTTACACTCGAGCAGAAACTCCCGAGAGACTGGCCGCCGTGACTGAAGTTCAGTCTGCAGGACTACTAGAAAATATTTAAGAAAATTTTATTCGCTGGCGTTTTAAATTGCTTATTACTTGTTTGTTATGAATTATACCTATTAGGTTGACTAGGGAAGTACCTGGGAAATTACTCCAGCAAAAATTCCACACATTGTGTTCATTTGTGAATTCCCTTATCACCAAAGTTTATCTCAATACAAATGCTATTAATTTATTGTGAATAATGTAAAATTGTATTATTATTCTTATAAGCATAATTGTAGTGGCGCTGTAAGAATACCCACTGCCCCGTACGGTGTATCCTGTGAGGCAATTCATTAGGGAGGGCTATGTCCAGCAGTGGACTCTTATAGATTGTAACTATTGGATGCTTATAAGCAAAGAAGAATAACCAAGCTGAAATTATCAACAATCTAGAGTTATAGGAATATAAGACATAGATATACATAACACAACAAAATCTATTATCTTATTACACTATAAATATATCTTGATAAGTATGTTTTTGTTAAGATAATTAAAAATAAAATGGAAGCAAAATCTAACAACATGATCAGTTGAGCATATTTTTATCTTAGACTAATTTATACAGAATAACATTATATAAGTTTATTTATTAGAGAATAATATTTACCGTACATAATTGATACGTTTTTATAATATCATTCAATCTGTAATGTTTTATTGAGTTTTATTGAGTTTTAACCAACGGTTTATTGAGTTTTTTTATGGAATTAAGATGAAAAAGGAGTAGATGTTGTGGTCAATAAACATCTACGAGTATATCAATCCTTGATTAAGAATTAAAATGCAGATGCGTAATCACCCCTGAGTACCAAGATAGAATGCCTCATTTACAGTAAAAAGGGGTCTCTGGTTCTCAATGCAGCGGTACTCACCGTACGACAAACCATGTGATTACCATAAGAAACACAGCAACAAGCTGCTCTTTTACACTGATATTCTGTGAAAGCGTGATCCTTCCCTGGTCGTGTCAACTCATTCGTGCCACAACCATAATATAGCTGCAGCGTGGCTCTACCACGTACAAAAGGAGCCGTGGACCGGGTATTAGGTGCCACTGAGACGAACATTAAAAAGTACTTAACCACCCTCTTACCTATTTCTGATGGCAAAGTGGCAGTTCCGCATGCACTGCTGCGTCCTGATCTTAAGGGTACAGAGAGCCAGTATAATTAAATGCCATCTCAGTTCTCAACAGCGACATCCGTAGTCGTCTGTGCTATTGACTGCAGCTGTCCCTGGAGTACAGTAGCCGCTGGGTGGTACCGTCAAGTGAGTTGCAAGTTCGTTTGTAACGCAAGATCGTACTGCAACTGTATCCTATTAGCAGCATGACGGGACCGGCGCGATTGGGGATGGACCACGCTCTCACAGAATACCAGTATAAAATTGCAGCTCAACATTTCCTACGGTAAGTGTGGAGAATAGGAGTTCCTTTGACTGGTAAAGAGGCATACTATCTTGATATTGGGGTGATAACGCATCAGCATTTTGATTCCTAAAGGAGGATAGACGTGGGTGCCACTTACCACATGGTGCCATTCATGTTCATTTGCCACCCTTATTCTATAATATAAATCTATCCGATTTATGCTCATGAACCGACTTTCCTGTGTGGTAACACAAAAAAGAGTTTTCTATTTCAGTAGTGATACAATTGTACTTTAGATATAAATTATAAATAATACTAATTGAACATCATTTTTAAGTTTAATTTAGCACTGGTTCGAAAATACCGCCGTTCTGAGAAAAACCAGAAAAAACCCAGCGGGACATTAAAAATAACAATTCACTATCATGTACACATTATGTTGTACAATTAATTATATAATTCATATAAGAAATCTATTTCTTTTATTATTATTACATAGTTTATAGAAGAGCATTCCGTCCGACTCCGACTGTGGATTAAAAAAAGGTAACGTGCGTTGATCTCTCTAGCCCAATGTAACGTGCGTTGGTCTCTCTAGCCCAATGTAACGTGCGTTGGTCTCTCTAGCCCAATGTAACGTGCGTTGGTCTCTCTAGCCCAATGTAACGTGCGTTTGTCTCTCTAGCCCATTGTAACGTGCGTTGGTGTCTCTAGCCCAATGTAACGTGCGTTGGTCTCTCTGGCCCAATGTAACGTGCGTTGGTCTCTCTAGCCCAATGTAACGTGCGTTGGTCTCTCTGGCCCAATGTAACGTGCGTTGGTCTCTCTAGCCCAATGTAACGTGCGTTGGTCTCTCTAGCCCAATGTAACGTGCGTTGGTCTCTCTAGCCCAATGTAACGTGCGTTGGTCTCTCTAGCCCAATGTAACGTGCGTTGGTCTCTCTAGCCCAATGTAACGTGCGTTGGTCTCTCTGGCCCAATGTAACGTGCGTTGGTCTCTCTAGCTCAATGTAACGTGCGTTGGTCTCTCTGGCCCAATGTAACGTGCGTTGGTCTCTCTGGCCCAATGTAACGTGCGTTGCTCTCTAGCCCAATGTAACGTGCGTTGGTCTCTCTGGCCCAATGTAACGTGCGTTGGTCTCTCTAGCCCAATGTAACGTGCGTTGGTCTCTCTGGCCCAATATAACGTGCGTTGGTCTCTCTAGCCCAATGTAACGTGCGTTGGTCTCTCTGGCCCAATGTAACGTGCGTTGGTCTCTCTAGCCCAATGTAACGTGCGTTGGTCTCTCTGGCCCAATGTAACGTGCGTTGGTCTCTCTAGCCCAATGTAACGTGCGTTGGTCTCTCTGGCCCAATGTAACGTGCGTTGGTCTCTCTAGCCCAATGTAACGTGCGTTGGTCTCTCTGGCCCAATGTAACGTGCGTTGGTCTCTCTAGCCCAATGTAACGTGCGTTGGTCTCTCTGACCCAATGTAACGTGCGTTGATCTCTCTAGCCCAATGTAACGTGCGTTGGTCTCTCTGGCCCAGTGTAACGTGCGTTGGTCTCTCTAGCCCAATGTAACGTGCGTTGGTCTCTCTAGCCCAATGTAACGTGCGTTGATCTCTCTAGCCCAATGTAACGTGCGTTGGTCTCTCTGGCTCAATGTAACGTGCGTTGATCTCTCTAGCCCAATGTAACGTGCGTTGGTCTCTGTAGCCCAATGTAACGTGCGTTGGTCTCTCTAGCCCAATTCACGAGGATAACATCCGAATATGGAAATTCAGCGGCACCAAAGATATAACACCACAAGTGTACACGTAAACATAAAGATAATAACTGTTAGCTGTTGTAATACTTTTGTGCTATAATCGATGATAGGCTCATAAGAACAATCTACGATTTAAAAACAAAAACCTAAGGAAATTAATATATCAGCATTGGCCTCTCAAAATGTTTACAAAAATTAGAAGTTTTATAAAATAAGTGATATTCATTATATAAATACAACCAGTATACGTGGTAGAGCCATGCTGCAGATTTATTATGGTGAAGTCCGAATGGGTCGGCTCAACTCAACCGAGGAAGACATCAAGACTCTCACAGAATTCTAGCGTAAAATAGCAGTTTAATGCTACTGTGTGTCATACTGTGAGTCCGATCGAGTCAGCTCATCCGTACTGCGGCTTTTGTAGTGTAGCTCTAGCACGTAAAAAATAAAATAATCAGTTATTGAATAAAGCTATTTCTACGCATTTAGTTCCGACGTTTCGCAGACGTGGTTTCGCAGACCATATAAAAGTACTTTGTGACGTGGTCCTTCACCTTGTGTCATGGGGAAGGTCAGTCGCTATGAAATGAAATGGCTATGTTCAGCTTAAGATGTGAGATTTCAGTTATGACTTCCGATAGGTGACGCTATAGTCATCTCACCAATAGTAAAATACTCAAATCAATTCTGCGATCGTCCATCCGCATCCGCCAGTGGGGAAAAATGTTTTATGCATTGACTTATATATTACTAGCCTAAGGACCGGGCCGACCGAACAACAAAAACGGACCAGTGCGCTGGTATATAATAAAGGTGGTGCGCGCGCAGGACGGTTTTGCCTGTCATAAATACTCGTATGTCTAGTTGCGTGGTAAAGGAATGCAAAAATTACGATACAAAGATTAAAAAAAAATATGGGTTACCGTATCATCAGTAATAACGTTATTTTAATTTTGTTACAAATAAATTATTATATAAACTCATTTTTAAAGTTTTATTTTGGTTAGTTTAGTTACGTTACCAAGATAAGGCCAGGGTTGGATTCAGACTCTCAAAATATTGTGCATGGAAAATAAAATAATACTATTTACAAAAAATTATATCACGTTTGACGTTTCATGTTATTTTTCCCATGTGCCGGGTTTTGGCGTCACGCGTGTAATTTATTTATACGTTTCGTTTTTTGACGGTTTTATTTTTATTTCTGTTTAATTTTTGTATAAAGAACTTAGTATAATTATAAGTTTTTAATATTGTTACCTAATATATTTTATATTCAGTGAGGGTAAAACGAAATAAGTACAAAAGAAACGATATCTGCTTAAGTGGAAATATAATCTCAAATGGCTTAGCAAGATCCTTCGTTATGCCAAAAATATTGCAGCATTAATTTTGAAATAAATATATGGTAAAGTTGAGGATTAATGTTAAGGATTATGTTAGACGAAAACACGATTTCGTAAAATTTTTCAAAGAAAAATCCAAAGTTACCTCCAAAATAAATAATAAACCGCTGTTATTCATAAAATACTTTAAATAAGATCATGAAACTTTGCATACTAACTGAACTAACTATAAAGCAGTGCTTATGTTATTTACTTTTTTTTTAAATAGGTACCATTATTTTCACTGTAAAAAGAAATTACCTAAACTATCGGCCTCTTGAAGCGTGATTCGTGATTAATCCTGCCGCCCGGTCACTTCGCTTCGGCCTTTAAAGGGGGAGGTTGTGTCGCTTACGATCAGAATACACATTACGCAACAGAACGACGTAAAATTAAAATGGGAAATAACCATAATAAAAATAAGAAGCGACTGGCTTGGCGTTAAGAAACAGGCATAAATATGATAAACCTAATGAAATAAGTGTCTAACGACCTTTCTACTTACAGTATTAGTGATTACAAACATGTAGGTACATAGCATACGACGCGCGGGCAAGTGGGGACGAAATTAGAATTTGAGCTGACTTACTATATCCCCTTAAATGAATCTGAAAATCTGATTTATAAAATATTTTGAAATTCTGTTTTCAAACCGATTGCTTCTAGAGCATAGAGTTTTATCGTGGTAGCCCCTCATTATAGTTGTATCAAGGATGTAACATAAATGTATCGATTGACCAAAAAGGGAGCTAATTCAATTTTATTGAAACAACGCGGTACTCATGTACAATACATAAATTCTCGATATCGTAGGGTTAATATTAAAATGTAAAAGGACCCTATAATAATACAAGCCGATCTTTAGGTAAAATAATGGTATTTTCGCTACAAACTATGAAATAATGATACAATTAGGATAATTATACTACGAAATCCGACCCTGGTTACGTCGTGTTTTGATATGACGTTTATATTATGACAGATGCGCTACTTTTTCTTGTATGAAAAAGTTATGAGTAAACTATTTGGATGGGCCTATCCTTCTTTTTGAAATCATTGGTTTTATGTCGATCTCAAAATGTCTATGACCCAAGTCATAGATAATACACTATATACCAGGGATAGATGCGTCAACGCCGCCTGCGGTAAGTACAAGTAGATGGCGTATTTTATGCATTGACTTTCCTGATTTGATTATTTATTTATTTTCTTCTATGAATGTGATAATATTTTATTACTTGAGATTCGATATTATCATCTTTACTGTCAGAAGTTAATAATTTTATCTGTAGCAGCCTTTTAACGTTGGTGCGCCAATTGTGAACAAGCACATTTATTATTAAATTGAGTAAATAATCATGAAGCCTCTTAATACCTATGATTTTCTCAGGAAAACGAAAACGAAAAAACGAAAAGTCGCAAAATATTTTCGTTTACTCAGTTATTGTATTTTTATTATTATTTACTTGTGGTTCTTCAATCAATTGCATTTGAATTATGTATAAGACAAACTTCATTTTTGAATGAACTTAACCTCTGATGGATATTTACATGATTTTTATGTATACATTTTACATAACTACACCCATAGACTTATTACTACTGCGTATGAACCGGGTCATTGAAAAAACAAAATGGCACCGACTCATTGGTGCTAAAATGTTTATGAAGCACCAACGCGCGCTCACAAGCGCGCCGTGCGTCCGTATTCTGCACTATTTTATGGCAAATCTACTAATATATGTAGGGCTTTAGGCGTTTCTTCAAGTTGACGGGGTTTTGGATAATTTGGCGTGAAATCGAACTTCAGGTAACCAGGTTTTCTATACCCACCCAATGTAAATTTTTTAAAGATTTATCGAAGGGGTCAAAAAAGCTAGAAAAGGGTAGAATGAAAAAGTTTTCATTCTGTATATCGGAATAAATATATTTTACATAGTGTTATTATAATTTAAAAATGAGAACGACTTCTTCATCACGAGACAAAAAGTTTTTTTTTGTTTTAAAGTTACTATAAAAAATATAGAGGAAAGTAACCAAATATGGAATAGTATCCCTAAAATGGAATACCGCCATTTCTCGGAAACGAATACTCCTAGTTGCAAAAGACAGTGATTTTCTGTCTCTTTCCATCATTATATTCACGTACAGTTTTCGACTTGTCGTCAAAAACTTTCGATGAGAAGACCCACTGGCACGTCTTTTGCAAGAGCTTTTGGTTTCAGTAAAGAAAAAGTAGACGCTTTTTCTGATCTTCTTGAAGAAGTCTACACTAAGGGTAATTATACTCCGAATCGCATATATAACGTCGAAGAATCTGGGCTTACAGTGGTTCAAACCAAGATACCCCAAGTTATCGGTCACAAAGAAAAACGACAAATAGCTTCACTTACTTCAGTTGAAAGAGGGTCTTTAATGACAATAGTTATTGCTATGAACGTTACTGGCCATTTTGTGCCCCCTTACATCATTTTTCCCAGGAAAAATATGAGCGAACAGCTAATGAGACGCAGTTTTCCAGGTGCGATAGGCGTTGCACATCCATCAGGATGGATCCAAATGCAAAATATTTACAGATTAGTTTAAGCATTTCATCAAACACACCAACCCGACACCAGAATCGAAAGTTTTGTTGATCTTAGATGGACATTATTCTCACACACGAAACATCGACGTTATTGATATTGCAATGGAGAACAACGTTGAAATTGTTTCCATACCTCACCATACCATACACACAACCCACAAACTGCAACCTTTGGTTAAAACTTTTATGGGACCACTAAAAACCTATTATAGCGAAGAAATACGAATGTGGATAAGAAACCATAATAGGCCACTAAGTCCTTACGACGTTGTTGAACTATTTGGCAGATCTTACTTGAAAGTGCAAACAGGGGAAATTGAAGCGAATGCCTTTCGCATTACAGGCCTTTGGCCATTGAATAAAAACATATTCAGCGAGATCCTTGCTGCTCAACAAGATACAGTAAAAGATGGTTGCACAATCAATGCCACTCCAACAAAATCAAGCTCCCAGTCGAAAGAATCATCAACAAACGATGCAAGACCACCTGATAATAGTTTGATTTTAACTGAAACTTCTGTGACACCAAGACAAGACACAGAATTCGATTCAGAACCCTCAACTTCCAGGCTTTCTAGCAGTACTCTAAATCTGGTGTCGCCCTATGACATCAACCCAGTGCCAGATAAAATAAGAAAGATTTCTAATAGAGGAAGAAAAACAACTATTGCTGAAATAATAACACCTTTTCCATATAAAAATCAACTCATTGACAGTAATAAAAAGAAAAAAGAAAAAGAGAATAAATTATCAAAGCCAAAAAATAAAAAACAGAAAAAAAGAAAACTAAAGGAAAAAAGCAAAAAGAGAAAACCAAGTCTCAAAATAGTCCCATTGATTCAGACGATGAGAAGAAATACATTTTGACACAGACAGTGAGCCTAATGCCGTCATAGGACTGGAAGCTCCTGACTCAGAAGATGCAGAGTGTATGTTCTGTAATAGCTTGTTTTCTCAAGATACTAGAGGAGAGACATGGATCAAATGCCTCATGTGCGGGCTCTGGGCACATGGTGATTGCGCAGGTGCAGAGTTCGATACATGGATCTGTGATTTTTGCAAGTAATTTAAGTACATTTTTAAAATTGACCAAAGTTCCTGTAGTACCTCATAAAAGTAAAGGTTTATTATTCATAGTTTTATAGTAGTCCATATTTGGGTACCTATTCCATAATTAGGTGCCTTTATGTTGATTTAGTTTTTGAGAAAATTTTATATTTTAAATTAATATATGTAAAACAAAACTGTCAATAAGTTAAGCGCAACTGTATGACTGATAATAAATAAGAATAAAAGTTTTTGATTTAGAATATCTTTTTTTTATAACACAAAAACAAAATGGTATTCAAACCCCGAAATAAAAATTTAAAATATTCAAAAAGTAAAGATTCTAAATTAGGGATTATTTCTACAGTTCTAGAATAAAACCAAAATTAAAGCACTGGTTCCGTGGTTGTTCATGATTGTTTAAGCGATGGCGCTGATTTATTCTATGCTTAAACCGTGAAAAATTTTTTTTCGCAGGACCATATCTTGTCATTTATATCGATGCCTACACCTTACAATTCTTAGATATATTTTTATACACTTATACAACATCCATAGCTTAGACCGCAACTTCGATAGATAATAATAAATAAATAAAAAGCCTGTATTCCCTCTTTTAACAACTATAAGTGTGAGTATGTGTGCGTATGCGAGTACGTTTTTGTTTGCGAGAGCTTGTGCATGTGCGTGTGCCTTGAGTCCGCCGAAACGAAGATGATTGAAGATGGTAATGGTATGCTTAGTTAGTAGTTACCAAAAAATGTATATCCGGTTCTCTACACTCACCATACGAGACACTGCAGTATTTTAAGCTGCTATTTTACTAGAGTACTCTGTGTGTTCTACTTCTAGGTATCCTCGGTTGAGCTTTTCGTGCTACAACCATAATAAACTCGTAGCTGCAGTGTGGCTCTACCACGTAGTAAAATCAGACTTTCAATGGAAACAAAAATAAGGAAGATTACAAGAATTAGTCATTACGGAGGTCATTACGCCGAGCGCAAGAATTGCTTAAGATCTGACGCACGGCACGGTTACCGTGGAATTCCCATTTAATGGCATCGCACCTGGCACCTGACTTGTAAACGCGGTGTCAGCTAGTGACGAGCTCGTTTCGTCCCTTTCAAAATTTACCTTTCAATAAAGAGCAAAAGATGACTGCAAAGAAGTAACAAGCAAAATGCTTAAATTGTAATTTACAAAAAATCGACAGCGTAAAAAAAACTTCCCCTCCCTTTTTATATTCGGAGATGCAATATATATATATATTATATAGCCTAGTTAGTTTGTGTATATAGCTTTGATAATTCCATAGTTAAGACGTATATGTCAAAATCCTTCAAGCCGTTTCAGCGTGTCAAAGAAATAGATATACATACAACATATATACATTATACAAACTATACACACATATATACATACTCACGAAAAACAATACCCTCCTTCTGATACAATCAGTTAAAAAATGAATAAAATAATATCTACATATCTAACTACAGTTTCGGAAGTCAATACTAAAACGGGTATAAAAGAAATAAAGACCCGACTGCAGAAGCTGCTGTGGAAAATATATTATTCGTTATAGTTATGTTTAATCGGTTTTATAATTATTATTACCATAGTTTAATTTTTTACCCTTTTGAGTGGACATACAAAGATAAATAGATAATTATTTATTGCACTCAAAATAATTAATACGGGGGCAAACATAATGCTGAAAAGTCACTCTCTGCCAGCTAACCTTTGGTTGAATCTCATAAGCTCTAGGTAAAAACTAGAATGTCGTCCGAGAATGGATTTTCTTTCAATATAAACGGGACCCTTGCAGTAACTTCTTAAAAAAAAGAATCATCTAAATCGATTCACAGTTGGCTAAGCTATCAAGTAATATATTACAAAACAAAACAAACGTACAGTCGAAGTACAAACGGTAAAACAGTAAAACCGACTGTAAAATAGTTTACTGAAATTAGAAAAGCTTTAATCAAGACATTCAGGCTACAGAGCGTGCCAAAGAAATACACGAACATACACGCACACTCGAAATACCTTATCCTCCTTCTGGGACAGTCAGGTAAAAACAAGGTTTTAGACAAATCATCACAACAGACCAATAGTATTTAAGAAGGACAGGGTTCCATAGAGACTTCGTTGCGCTGCCTTTACTACCACGTGTGCACGCTTTGTTACAACCAAGCTTAGCAAACGTATATGCTTATTTGTCGATACTAGATTCAAATCTCAGCTCATTGTTTCTTTATATATAAGTATCGCTATACCCCAGAAGCATTTTATATTAATATTTCAACATTTTGTTGCAAGTGTACACTTGTGGGCGGCCAGCCACCATATGGAGTGACGACCTGTAAGACATGCAGAAAGTCGATGGATGCAGGTGGCTCGGGACCGTGCTTTGTGGCGTTCCTTGGGAGAGCCTTATATTCAGCAGTGGACTTATGAAGGGCTTTAATGATGATGATGAGGATCTAGAAAGAAAGAATGATACACTTGTAATTATAAATTGCCCTAAGCAATCCACCAGCCCATATCATCCCGTGGTTGACGCAAGAAGCGACAGAGGGAAACTGAAATAGGAGTCGGGCAGCAGTATCTTCCTGAAAACAAATAAAAATAACAAAAAACTGCGGTTGCCGACCTGCTCGCCAGACGTGGCAATTATGGAAAAATCCACTCTATTAGGCAAAGGCATCTAATGGATGGAAGAAATGTTAACTTTTTATACTTCGTGATACTAAGCGAGCGGACGCACGTCTTCATACTTTGCGCCGTTGTTTTTCAATATACGTCGAAAGGCTCTGAAACTAGGTTACATGTTTACGACGGATTTACCCGGTGCCGTACATAACTATTGTAAAATTTAAACAAACGCGTGTCGCGTGCGAGCGCGTGCCTGCTTCTTGCGTATAAGGTACGTACAGTACAAAACTACAAAGTATCCACAAAATACAAACTGTACCTTACACTAAGTATTAACCAGCACACATACTGTCTTTATAACTATCTTAATTTATTTAATTATTTGACAGCACTTAAAAAGATGCAAATGACTTTATAAAAATGCAAAACAGGATATAGATACTAAACAAATAACAGGAAATAGTTAACTAAACTAAAAAACCCAAAATTCACTTTGTACGAGGAAATAGCTTTTTTACTGTCCCCGTTTAAGGCGACACCGTGAAAAAATGCACCTCCTTTCATCGAATAGTATAGGACTATGACACCACTAACGAAAGTGGGATTTTGATATAGGTAAATTCATGTCTTTATCTTGAATTTGATTGCTCAAAAGCACGATTGTATAATTTTGACTCGATCATAATTATTTGCGAAAACACCTCTAAAACATCACTATAGTTGAAATTACAACGAAATCATTTGATCTATATGTTTGGGAATCACTCAAATATATTCATAACATCAATATTCATAATTTACTTGCTCGTTATTTTGATAACTTAAATACATAATTTTTTTAAATATTTTAAGATTCTGACAATTTCTAAGCGCTTTTAATCGTCGCGGGCGCTACGCAAAATTAGACCTTATGACGGCGTTTCTTCAAGTTTTTATAGAAATTATGTATTCATTCGGATCAGTACGGCGATAGCGTTTTCGATGTTCTTAAGGTTGCTCTTCTCGAAGGCACGAACTAAGTGGTGGGCGGGGTAAAAATGCATGCTATCTCAGCCGACATCACGTGCGAAAGGGATAGACACTGTGATGAGCAGTAAGAAGCTAGTGCGCACACACATACGCACTCGAGTGACGCAATGCGAGACGGCGTCATCGCTTACCTACCTATGCGATTCATTTTTGAATAATAACATAAACTCAAACGGCAATTTGAGTTCCGTATCGCAGTGGCTTAGCAATGAGGCTGTGCTGGGCACCGCGGGTTCGAATCCCGCACGGAACAAATATTTGTATG